AGACTTCGTGGTGCACACAGCAGTTTCGTTTGCTCCACGAATCATCTTTTTCATGCAAAACGTAGACATTGACATAAACTTTCATCATTGCACCATCACAGCATTCTTTCATCAAGATTTTTTTTTTCTTATGTCATTGAGCACTAAAAATGCTACATAGAGTAATATCAAATGCGTTTTTACTGACCATCATCATATTTTCCACAGTTAACTAACTCGAGACCCCTAAAAAAACTAACTAACTCGAGAGTTACAGATACTCCCTCTGTAAGAAAAATATAAGAGCGTTTAAAGAGAACGGGATGTCGACCCGTTGGCTAGGCAGCTAAGGTTGCCGCCAGCTCACCTAAGTTCAAGTCCCGGCTTGAATGCGTGGTGCTCACGGAGTTTTTTATAAAAAAAATGCCAACGACGGTTAGCCTAACCCTCGGTTGCTCTCATTTGATAAGAGCGTTTAGATCACTGTACGGACGAAAGTTGTATTTACCACTTTACCCCTCTTCTTCCTGGCGACCCCTACCCCCTTCGTCGCCGCACTCCGGCATTTCTCCGGCTCAGCCCCCACCACGCGGCTGCAGCGAGCGAGCGAGCGAGCGCGGGAGCGAAATGGGAGCTCCCACTCCTCTCCCGCTCCAACCCGATAACTCCTCACGACGCAAGCGCCGACTCCCTCCCGTCAGGCCTCCGCCCCCCGCCCGCCGACGCCGCGTGCTTCCCGCCGCGCGGGCGAGGAGGAGGTGCCCGCACGACGACGGGTTCGATCCCGACGCCGGCAACGGCCTTGGCACCGCCAAGCCCCAACCTCAGCGCTGCATCCTCGACATGTTCCCGTACCCTAGCCCCAGGTACAATTTGTGCTCGAATTTTTGCTTAATAAAAATTACGACTTTGTGTAGTGGTAGGCCTTAATTCATTCATCTATTTGGATACTAGGACGCGATTTGGCTCGATTGGACGCATAAATTATTCGTGGGAGGCGTTGAAGGTGTGCAGTGGGAGAAAGGAAGCAGTCATTTGCCAAATAACTGTACTGTAACTGAAACACGAAAGCCCAGCTGGTTCACAAATAAGCGTTCGTTCAGGACGGTTCTCTTGGGAGGAGATTCGGTGGAGCATGATAGATGTCCCGTCGAGGGTGTATCCTCATTAGTGTTATCATGCCATGGATTTAATTATGCCGAGCATCTCTTTCAAGATTCTCAGATAATTCATGTCCGACAGTCCGAGGAAGCTTGATGATGGGGATAGGTTGTTGTGGATCATTGACTAACTTTCCTGCAACTGCGACCAAGACAGACCAAGTCTTTGGCATCATTGCCATGTCCATTTCCTCTCCTTGATAACTGACCTGCTGCCACTTTGCAGAGTCAGCTAAATTGTGCTTCGGCTTACAATACATAGGACACTTCATCCGACTGTGACATATGTCATGTGCAATTTATATCTATCTTTCTTTGGTACTTGGATGGCGGCAAAGAAATAACGGTCAGTGGGGAGCCAGCTTTCCTGATATTCAGCTCACTTGATACTTCCATTTGGTGGATCCTGGGGTGCACAAGCTGTAGATTGTATAACAAGCAGAGAATGGTATTTGTACTTTGATAGACTGGTTTATGCACGCGTATTCTTTACCCACATGAACCTCACAAGTTTCTTTTGTGCTCAGGTTTTTTTCAATCATCTCGGGTGTGACGTCAATAGAACCAAGCCAAACAAGCCGGCAGCCCGGCTCTGAAGAAGTTCCAACTCCCCTACCCTTCCAACATATATCAAAGCACGCACACAAAGCATTTAACCAACATACTCCATTAGGGCAAGAACAGAGCCATGGCTCCTCAAGTTTTTCGCACCCAATCTCTAATTGTTCCTTCCCACCATGCACTCTCTCTTCTCTGCGCCATCCTTGTATTTCTGTCCTCCAACACAATAATATACACATCAGCACAAGCTAGCAACAAATCTGAGAGTGACCGGCAAGCCCTTCTCTGCTTCAAAGATGGCATCTCTGGGGACCCTCTCGGTGTTCTCAGATCATGGCGCAATGACTCACTCAACTTCTGCAGCTGGCGGGGGGTCACCTGCAGCATGACCCTCCCAATCCGTGTTGTACATGAATAAAACACGTTGTACTAAATCAGTGACAACTAATATAGAACGAAGAGAGTAAAAAAGTTTAGAAACATTTTTGAAGAATCAGGAAACATGATGTTTTTTTATGAATGCTCATAGATAAAAGATTTCTGGAGTTCTGTACATGAATAATCATGTTTTTTTGCATGCTCCAAACCACCTCATAGTCTCTCTTCTTCAAAGCAAGAATTCATGTGACGTACTTATAATTATAAGAAGGTTGACGGCAACAATAATTTTAGGACGCCGATAACTACCGAACGTCAGGTACGTGCACATGGAAAAATGAATGTTTTTTGTGATAATTTATATTTTCCGAGGATGGCAAGTTTATGGAAAAGCATGGCAAATCCGCCTTGGTTTTTATTTTTTGCCTGAAAATTGCCGTACTTGTCAAAATTGCCATCCTCGCGTCACTAAAATTGTCATAAAAAACGTCCTTTTAGCCATGTGCAGGTACTTATCATTTCCATAAATCTATACTCCCTCTATCCACGTTTTAGTGTGTTTGTTTACTCATTTTAGTCCGTATGTCGTTCATATTGAATGGAGGGAGTAGAAGATAAAATAAAGAGTCAGCATGGTGTGTTGCTTGTTTAATGATAGGGATTTTTTGCTTTTCTTTTATACTAATATTTTATAAATAAACAGGAGTAAGTAGATATCTACGAAAATGACCACTTTACCCCCACCCTTGTTCCTCCCAAATCCTCTCCTCTCCTCTCCGGTCAGCGGCTTCGGCAGCCCGCTCGTCGCTCGGGGATGAGAAGCAGCCGCGCGAAGGAGAAACTCCCCTTCCTCCCCTCCCCACCTCAAAACGATGGCCACCCGCAATCTCCTGCCGCCCCCCGCGCGGAAAACGATTATATATTTTCTTACGGTCTCTTTTTACGTCGGAAATAAGACAAAACTTACGGAACGTAAAATTACGGTGCATTGATGGTAAATTAAGAAGGGGGGGGGGGTGAAGATTAACTATTCCTCACCCAGGATGACGAGTAGTCAATCCCTATATAAAGGTTTTTCTTTTCCATGAACTAACATGTTAAGTTCTCCAATAAACTTCGCCATCTGTTGCCAATTATTAGTTTATCACCTCTTAGGCCTTTGTACAATAATGCGAGGTGTTTAGAGATGCGCTTAGATAAATTAATCATTTTTTGTTCTTAAGCATGCTTATTTGTACATAACAGGCGCTTATTTAGGTATCCCTCTTATAAAGATAAACTGCTGATGGCTAATGTTATAAGGAGGTGTCTTAATGGTGCATCCTGCATTAGTAAACGGTTTTAAAAGAAAATAAGGATATGCATAGGAAATGAGTTTGGGGCTAGATAATAACATAAGCTATAATCCTCTTTTGCTGATCATCTTTTTCATGCAACATGTAGACATTGACATAAACTTTCATCATTGCACTGTCACAACATTCTTCCATCAAGTTTTTTTTCTCTTATGACAATGAGCATTAAAAATGCTACGTAGAGTAATAATATCAAATGTATTTTGACTGACCATCATCCTATTTTCCACAGTTAACTAACTCGAGAGTCCCCTAAAAAAAACTAACTCGAGAGTAACAAATATTTACCACTTTACCCCTCTTTTTTTTCTTCTTCTTCCTCGCGCCCCCTTCGTCGCCGCACTCCGGCATTTCTCCGGCTCAGCCCCCACCACGCGGCTGCGGCGAGCGAGCGCGCGAGCCAAATGGGAGCCCCCGCTCCTCTCCTGCCCCAACCCGGTAACTCCTCACGACACAAGCGACGACTCCCTCCCGCGAGGCCTACGCCGACGCCGCGCGGGCGAGGAGGAGGTGCCCGTACGACGACGGGGGTCCAGCCGAGCCCCGGACACCGGCAACGTTCTGGGCACCTCCATGCCCCAACCTCAGCGCTGCATCCTCGACATGTTCCCGTGCCCTAGCCCCAGGCAGGTAGTACAATTTGTGCTCCGACTTTTCCTTAATAAAAATTACGACTTTGTGTAGTGCTAGGCCTTAATTCATTCAACTATATAGATATTATTTGGTTTGATTGGACGCATAAATTATTCGTCAAATAATAACCGTACTCTAAGTCTGTAAGAGAAACACGACAGCCCAGCAGGTTCACAAATAAGCGTTCGTTCAGGATGGTTCTCTTGGAGATTCGGTGGGAGATGATGGATGTCCCGTCGAGGGCATATACCGCCGCTACTCGTTAGTATCATCATGTTATGGATTCAATTTTGTCGAGCACCTCCTTTTAAGATTCTCAGATAGTTCATCTCTGAACAAGTTCGATGACGGGGATAGCTCGTTAATTAATTTCACCGCAAGGGCGACAAAGACAGACCGAGTCTTCCGCGTCATGGCATGCCCACTTCTTGTCCATGATAACTGACCTGGCACTTTGCCGAGTCAACTAAGCTGTGCTTGGGCTTATGACAGTGTACTTCCTGAACCATACAGCCAACCGCGACGTATGACCTATACAAATATTTATGTTTTTTTGTTCATTGATGGCGGAGAAATAATGGTGAGTGAGGAGCCAGCAGCCCTTTTCTAATATCCAGCTCACTTAATACTTCCATTTGGCGGATTTTGGGGTGCACAAGTTTTAGATTGTATAACAAGCAGAGGATAGATAGTATTTGTACTTTGATAGATTGGTTTCTGCGCATGTTTTCTTTACCCACATATAAACCTCACAAGTTCGTTTTGTGCTCAGGCGCTTTTCGTTCATCTGGGGCATGGATAGAACCAAGCCAAACAAGCCGGCCCTGAAGTCAAAGTCAAGAAGAAGTTTCAACTCCCTTACCCTTCTACCACATATCTAAGCACACACGCCAAGCATTTAACCAACATACTCCATCACAACAAGAACAGAGACATGGCTCCTCAAGTTTTTCACACCCAATCTCTGATTGCTCCATCCCACCATGCACTGTTTCTTCTCTGTGCCATCCTCATATTTCTGTCCTCCAACACAATAGTATCCACATCAGCACAAGCTAGCAACAAATCCGAGAGTGACCGGCAAGCTCTTCTCTGCTTCAAATCTGGCATCTCCAGGGATCCTGCCGGTGTTCTTGGATCATGGCGCAACGACTCACTTCACTTCTGCAGCTGGCAAGGGGTCACCTGCAGCACGGCCACCCCAATCCGTGTCGTGTCCATCCAATTCAGGTCTGCGCAGCTCACAGGAACACTATCCAGTTGTGTAGCAGCCCTTAGTTCTCTAGTACAGATGGACCTTCCAAGCAATCAATTTTCTGGAAGCATACCTGATGAGATAGCTGAGCTTCAGAGCCTCCAAACCCTGAATCTTGCGGGCAACAACCTTGCAGGTAACATCCCTCTGTCATTAGGTACAGCTGCATCTCTTAGATATGTCAACCTTGCAAACAATTTTCTTGGCGGAGGTATCCCTGATTTCTTATCAAATAGTTCATCACTCCGTGTGATAATGCTCTCACGGAACAACTTAGCTGGGGTGATCCCAGTTAATTTGTTCAACTCATCCAAACTTCGCCGTGTTGATCTTCGGTGGAATGCTCTCTCCGGGCCTATCCCACATTTCCAAAAGATGGATGCTCTGCAATTTCTTCATCTTGCAGGGAATTCACTTTCTGGTACTATACCAGCATCTTTAGGCAATGTTTCATCCTTACGTTACCTCCTGCTAGCAGAAAACGGCTTATCTGGATCAATTCCAGAAACGTTGGCTCGAATTCCAAACCTAACAATGCTAGATCTAAGTTACAATAGATTATCTGGAAGCATACCTGAAGAGATAGGTAAGCTTCAGAGCCTCCAAACCCTGAATCTTACAGTCAACAGGCTTTCAGGTACCATCCCTGGGGAGATAGGTGAGCTTCATAGCCTCCAAACCCTGAATCTTGCGGGCAACAACCTTGCAGGTAACATCCCTCTGTCATTAGGTACAGCTGCATCTCTTAGATATGTCAACCTTGCAAACAATTTTCTTGGCGGAGGTATCCCTGATTTCTTATCAAATAGTTCATCACTCAGTGAGATAATCCTCTCACGTAATAACTTATCTGGGGTGATTCCAACTAATCTGTTCAACTCATCCAAACTTGTTGCTGTTGACCTCCGGTCGAATGCTCTCTCCGGGCCTATCCCACATTTCCGAAAGATGGATGCTCTGCAATTTCTCGATCTTACAGAGAATTCACTTTCTGGTACTGTACCAGCATCTTTGGGTAATGTTTCATCATTGCGCTCCCTCCTGCTAGCACAAAACATCTTAATAGGATCAATTCCAGAAACATTGGCTCGAATTCCAAACCTAACAGTGCTAGGTCTAAGTTACAATAGCTTCTCGGGGTATGTCCCAGCCACATTGTACAATCTGTCATCACTCACATTCTTTAGCCTACGCAACAACACATTTATTGGACAGATACCTTCTGATATTGGCCACTCACTTCCGAACCTTGAAACATTGGCAATGGGACTCAACCAATTTCGTGGGTCGGTCCCAGATTCTCTGACGAACATGTCAAAGCTGCAAGCGCTTGATCTTTCAAGCAACCTGCTGACTGGGGTGGTGCCATCTCTAGGATTCTTGTCAGACTTGAGCATACTGCTTCTAGGAAACAACACACTCGAAGCTGGTGACTGGGCCTTCCTTACCTCTCTGACCAATTGCAGTCAGTTGTTAATATTATCAGTGGATGGGAATATCCTGAATGGAAGTTTGCCAAGGACAGTAGGCAGCCTTTCAACAAAGCTTCAGCGGTTAAGCTTTGGTAGAAACCAAATTTCTGGAAACATACCCGCAGAGATAGGCAACCTTGTAGACCTCGCTCTGCTTGACATGGGTCAGAACATGCTCTCAGGACAAATCCCCCCGAGTGTTGGGAACTTGAGCAACTTGTTTATACTGGAACTATCGAGGAATAGATTATCAGGCCAGATTCCATCAACGGTTGGTAATCTTCCTCAACTCGGGCAGCTTTATCTTGATGACAACAATTTGTCTGGAAACATACCAGTAACTATAGGACAATGCAAAAGGCTAGCTATGCTGAACTTATCAGTCAACCACCTTGATGGATCCATACCAAGAGAACTCCTCAATATTTCTTCCCTCTCATTGGGTTTGGACTTGTCAAACAACAACCTGACTGGGCTTATACCACAGGAAATTGGTAACCTGATTACTCTTGGCCTCCTTGATGTTTCCAATAACAAATTATCTGGTAGCCTTCCTTCTGAACTTGGCCGGTGTGTTACATTGTTATCCCTTCAAATGGAAAGCAACATGCTCAGTGGGAGTATTCCTCAGTCTTTCAGTGCACTGAAGGGCATACAGCAGATAGATCTGTCTGAGAACAATTTAACTGGTCAAGTTCCACAGTATTTCGGGAACTTCAGCAGCTTAAATTATATTGATATATCATACAACAAATTTGAAGGGCCAGTCCCAACTGGTGGTATATTTGGAAACACAACGGCAGTATCCCTGCAAGGTAACACAGGGCTATGTGAAACAGCTGCTGCTATATTTGGACTGCCCATTTGCCCCACCACCTCAGCAACAAAAAGGAAGATCAACACACGGCTGCTGCTGATAATAGGTCCACCAGTTACTATTGCTCTGTTCTCATTCTTATGTGTTGCTGTCACTGTTATGAAGGGGAGCAAAACTCAACCAACTGAAAACTTCAAGGAGACAATGAAGAGAGTGTCATATGGTGACATTCTTAAAGCGACCAACTGGTTCTCTTTGGTCAACAGGATCAGTTCAAGTCATACAGCATCAGTCTACATTGGTCGGTTTGAGTTCGAGACAGACCTAGTGGCCATCAAGGTGTTCCATCTTAGCGAGCAAGGTTCAAGAAATGGCTTTTTCACCGAGTGCGAAGTGCTAAAACACACCCGCCACCGCAATCTGGTTCAAGCTATCACCATGTGCTCCACAGTAGATTTCGAGGGCGATGAGTTCAAGGCTATTGTATACGAGTTCATGGCAAACGGTAGCCTGGACATGTGGATACACCCAAGGGTTCACGGAGGCAGCCCAAGGAGGCTACTGAGCTTGGGTCAGCGGATACGTATTGCTGCTGATGTAGTTTCTGCTCTGGACTATATGCACAACCAGCTTACACCTCCTTTGATTCACTGCGATTTGAAGCCAGGAAATGTTCTGTTGGACTACGACATGACCTCACGCATCGGTGACTTCGGATCCGCCAAGTTTCTCTCTTCAGGTATTGGCGGACCAGAAGGCTTGGTTGGTGTCAGAGGAACGATCGGATATATTGCACCTGGTAAGTTGCACTCTCTTTTTTTCTTTCAAATGACTGTCGAGTTCCACAAGTATTTATGTCCACTGCTCCTGTTTTACAGAATATGGGATGGGATGCAAGATCTCGACAGGCGGTGATGTGTATGGTTTCGGGGTGCTGCTACTGGAGATGCTCACGGCGATGCGACCGACGGGCGCGCTATGCGGCAACACCCTCAGCCTCCACAAGTATGTCGACCTAGCTTTCCCCGAGAGGATCAGTGAGGTTCTAGATCCCGACATGCCATTCGAGGAGGATCCGGCGGCTGCTTCCTTATGTATGCAGAAGTACATCATACCTCTGGTCAGTATTGGCCTGATGTGTACCATGGAATCACCGAAAGATAGACCTGGGATGCACGACGTTTGTGCCAAGATTGTTGCCATCAAGGAGGCATTTGTCGAAACCTTTTGATTATGGCAACTAGTAGGATGTGCATGCAACTTGATATATAGTACAGTTATACAAAATTATAGCTATATCACTTGTATAATGTAACTGTAACCGTTTTAATTATGTATCTGATTAGGATCCACTGCTATGCTATATACTGGCCAAAATCAGCGGTGCAGATCTTAGTTTCTATCTCATATTGAAGCGACCCTTTTCTTTAGCATCTGAAAGTGAACGTCGAAGCTCTTTTTAAAACTTTTCACTGAATTACAGAGGCGCAATTTCCTGCCTGAAATGCTATTAGTTAGGCATTCTTCACATTAGATGCTGTCAGTTTGGGTTCTTTCCTTGCATACATGAGCCAGCAAACATTTATGCATCTACTATCTACTCCCTCCGTCCCAAAGTGTAAGACGTTTTTGAGACTTAGTGTAAGCCTCAAAAACGTCTTACATTTTGGGACAGAGGGAGTAGTAATTAAAAACAGTAAGATAGGAGCATCAGGAAACCCTGTGGCTGTGACTTATGCTTTCTGGTTTCCCTGAAATTCAGGTTGTGTCCTCAACTCGGCAAAGTTAAGAATCTGGAAAAGGAAGGCTACTAAGTTGCGGCTTTGGCCTTCCGGGTTTTCACAGGATTCAGGATATTTGCTCGAATCGACAGGTTAGGAATTTCGGAAAAAAGGGAAGGCTTCGCGAAGAAACGACTCGCCTTGCACCTCACAAGGAAGGCGAGTGCTGTCGGTTTTGATTCTGCCTTTGGAGCCAAGAATGTTGAGTATTTGCAGGCATTATAATTTATTTAAACACGAGGCAGCAAGGACTCGAAAACAGGGGCACCAGGAAACCCGGCGTCCGCTTTTTTCTTAAATTTCAGGTTGCTTCCTCAACTCAAGTCGGCAAGTTAGGAATTTGGGGAAAAAGGAAGGCATCGAATTCGGCTTTCATGGAATTCAGGTTGTCTCTCCACTCGACTCCGCAAGCAAGGAATCCGAGAAAGGAAATGCGGAAGGTCCAGAGTGGGGTTGATCCTGAAGCATGGAATAATATGAGCCTTGCATCAGAGAGGAAAGTTCATATAGAGTACACACCATTGTCCGTCGCGAGTAGTAGTTCAGAGACGTAGTAGTAGTTGTCTCTGTGCCCTGCTCCTCCACCGCCATTGTCGCCCCTGCCTTGTAGGCGAGCCTCTTGTCAGCTGACCGTCGCTATTTCCGTCGGCGACGGGGCCATCGCTGACCCGTCCGGCCGTCTTTCCCCTCCGCCGTGTTTGTCCAACAGCGCGCGGCTGCCTGCCCCTCCCCGTCCACCGCACCGCCGTCGTCCGAGAGCATAGGAAAAGCAGGCGGCTCTCCTCGGATCGGATGGCCTCCAATGAGGTTCCCAACAAGCAAGGTAAAAACGCTGAAATTTCACATGGGCAAAAATCAGTGCAAGGCAGAAAGTGAGGGGAAAAAAAAAACCACCACTCTATGTTGTCCATACTTCTTGTTCAGAAATATAAAACGTTGTAGTAGCATACAGTGCGACCCAAAATGCATCTAAAGGCAGGCAAAGGGTGCACATCTGAATGCTCAAAGCCAACTCGATAAACAAAACAGCAGCACTCACCCCAGCCCCATTTGATGACGGCGATGTCGACGGACTGCTCTGACATATTTGTTTTTGCATTTGCAAATTGAGCGAACACGCAGCCGTTGACCAAAACGGAGAGGGGGTTTTGGCAGCCCCCGACTCCAGCCAGGGGAGCCACCTACCGAGCCTCCGTCCGCACTGTACCTGTACGTAGGTGCCACCCCGCAGCCCGCACGGCACCACCCGAGGCCGAGAGGAGCGCCGCCGCGGCACCATTTTCCGCCCCGAGCCAGCCGACGACCGCAGCGGCGGCCAAGGGGCCACGCCTCTTTGCGTTTCCGCCCCCTCGGCGATCTCAAGAGCTTCCAATCGGCTTCCAACCCAACCCCAGCACCAAAACTTTGGCCTTTCTCCCCTTCGATATCCCCGATAAAACCTCCATCTCCATCCCCATCCCCGCCCCTCCTATCGCCACTTCGCCAGCCAGCTCGCCCGCCCGCCCGCCTAGTCTTCTCCGAAGGAAGGAACGAAGGAAGGAAGCGGCCGCACGCTCATGGCCCTCTCCTGCATGAGGTGCCCGGCGGCGGCGGCCGGCGGCGGCCCCCTCGCGCGCCGCCCGCAACCGCCGCCCTCCTCGTCCCTCGCCTTCTCCTTCGCCAGATGCGGAGCCGCCAAGGGGTGGCGCATCCACGCCGTCGCCGGGAAAGGAGGTGGGCGCTCTCTTCTCCACTTGCTCTCTTCCGCTCCGCCGGGGTGTCGATTCTCTCCGCGCTCTTGGGGCCTTCTCCTTGTTCCGTCCAAAGTCCAGGGGATGCCTTGTTAGGTGAGGCCACGGGCTGGGAACTGCGCGCGTACATGCCTTGGATTACACACTTGATTGACTCAACATAGTCAGTCACCCCTAGAACTAGAGCCCAGATTCCTCGACTGAATTGGCATGTTGACTTTTGTGCCTCCTAGAGCTCTGCCGCATTCTGCTCCTACATCACCACCACCATTCTGACATAGTACTAGTATCTGAATCCTACCACTCTGGTGCACGGCTGCAAACCTTACTGTCTAAAATGAATCGAGTCGCCATTCACTAGTCAGAGCAAGATGAATTGAGTGGGTCTGCGAATTTGAGATGATTCCCACTAGCTTTGGTAACTTAGAGATGTTTAAATCCAACATCTACTCAAAATCTTGTTGCTTAACTAGTACAGTATGAATGATACACAATGGCTGTTTTTTTTTACTCATTTTGCACTCCATCATCAGTGAAAGCTCCCATGGATGCTGTGGAGAACGCTGTCGCCCCCGCCGCCCCGTCAACGGTGGCAAATGGCACTTCTTCAGCAATCACCGTCGAGGAATTTGAAGATTTAGCCTCTCTAGTGAAGGATGATGAGGCGTCGGTTAGCATCACCGTAGTTGGAGCGTCTGGTGACCTTGCGAAGAAGAAGATATTTCCTGCCCTTTTCGCTCTTTACTATGAAGGTTGTCTTCCCAAGGTTTGTCTATTGCTCTCTCCAGCCTAGGATTCAATTTTACCCACCTTTTTTTTAAACAAAAACCAATCTAAAGTATTTTCTTCTGTAGCATTTCTCCATCTTTGGCTATGCGCGGAGTAAAATGACAGATGCTGAACTGAGAGACATGGTCAGCAAAACACTGACTTGCAGGATTGATAAAAGGTGCTTATCTTGGGAGAACTTGCAATCATAACTTATGAAGGAAATAAATCCTATGTAGGGAGATGCATTTCCCTTGGTGCTACTTTAAACTGTTATGTCTTTTCTTTCAGGGAGAACTGTAGTGAGAAAATGGAAGAGTTTCTGAAACGATGCTTCTACCACTCAGGTCAATATGACTCAGAGGAAGATTTCAGGGAGCTAGGCAAGAAGATCAAACAACATGAGGTTTGTAGAAGCACTTCAAATTAAACCAAGAATGCATCATTGATTTTACTTCTAATGATGAGGTTATAGTATTTCTAGTTGTTTCGGATGAATTCCTCATAGGACCATATTTTCAGTGCATGCTTGCTAGTCTTAATGATTTTCATTTATATGTATCTCATTGTACGAATTTTCTCTAAACTGCGTTAAGATATAAATTTTTGCTAGTTCTGTGTTTCCATCTTGCAAAAACCGTAGTATCTGAAAAATGTCCCTTGATATAATTTTGTTGATGTAATAAGTCAGCATCTATTAGCTTTACAAATCTTAATGGTGTGCCTTGTAAAAAAAAAATGATGTATGCAACTATTTTGTACTACTTAATCCATCTCCATTTCAAAAATCAATGTACTTATACTCTGACAAATTTTTTTTATATGCAGGGTCCCAGAGTATCTAACCATCTTTTCTACTTGTCGATACCTCCAAATATATTCCTGGATGTTGTAAAATGTGCAAGCAAATCAGCATCATCTGTGAGTGGCTGGACAAGGGTAATTGTTGAAAAACCCTTTGGCCGGGACTCAGAGTCTTCTGCTGCCCTAACGAAAGGTCTGAAGCAGTACCTGACAGAGGACCAAATCTTCAGGTGATACAGGAATCTAGTTTAATTTGTGAGAATTGTTCATGTTTTCTTTTATCACTAATTTAAATATGACTCTCATTCTCATACCCTGCATAAATCAAAGCTGTCTTCCCAATTGGAAACATTTAAGTGGTGATATGATCCCTTTGGGAATTCGGGAGCATGATATGCATCATAGTTATTTTCATAGAGTAGGATTCTTATGAATGTTGTGCTCTTTATATTTGTTATGCAGGATTGACCATTACTTGGGAAAGGAACTGGTGGAGAACTTGTCTGTCCTTCGCTTCTCGAATCTTGTTTTTGAGCCTCTGTGGTCAAGGCAATATATTAGGAATGTGCAACTGATATTCTCGGAAGACTTTGGCACTGAAGGGCGAGGAGGGTAATGATTTATACATCGTTTGTGGCACTGTGTTACTTCCCTTGGATTGTCTCTTACCAAATTGTTGAATTACACAGGTACTTTGATAGCTATGGTATTATCCGAGACATAATGCAGAATCATCTTCTTCAGATACTAGCTCTATTTGCAATGGAAACTCCTATTAGCTTGGAAGCAGAGGACATACGAAATGAGAAGGTTTGTGCCTGTTCCTTAGTAATATTAATTGTAGGATATAACATATTTTAAGTTACCGACACAGGCAGTTTTAAGCCAAAAACTGTTGGCTCCTATTGGGGACAGAGGGAGGGCCAATTCTTTCCCCAATTAAAGACCTGTTTTATCTGCATTCTGTTACATGCTTTAAAGCAGTATACATCAATCCTTTTTTTTTTGCGAAAAAGTATACTTTAAAGCAGCATAAATCAATTTTATAATCTGTGTTTTATGTGAAACGAGCATGTCGATTCTAAAATTACCATTCATTGATCTTCATTGTTACTTCTGTATTCCTTTCAGGTTAAAGTTTTGCGCTCCATGAAGCCATTGCGACTAGAAGATGTGGTAATAGGACAGTATAAAAGTCATACAAAGGGTGGTATTACATACCCTGGATACACTGAAGATAAGACGGTGCCCAAGGGTAGTCTGACTCCAACATTTGCTGCAGCTGCGCTTTTTATAAATAACGCTAGATGGGATGGAGTTCCCTTTCTCATGAAGGCTGGAAAAGCTTTGCATACTAAACAGTAAGTGCACTTCAACATGTTTTTCATTATCAATATGATGCCTACACTTTGCCACATGTTCACTTTAGCTATATGTCATTATTTTGTTGAATATTTGAATTTTAACCCTGATGTCATTTTTTTTTTAAATTTTTGTTTGCGCTTCTTATTTAATTTTTAGTGTTATGCAGTTAGACCAACGTATTCTCCATATGTAACAATTTACCGTATATTTATTAGTATCTGTTTTGGGTTGATAACACAAAATTATTTGTTTTGAGCATCTCTTTTATGGTTTATCTTTAATGCTGTTGATCCTGATAGTCGAATGACAATTGAACAAATTTCAGGGCTGAGATTAGAGTACAGTTTCGACATGTTCCTGGAAATCTCTACAAGGGGTCTTTTGGAACCGATCTTGACAGGGCTACTAATGAACTTGTGATACGCGTGCAACCAGATGAAGGAATTTACCTAAAGATTAACAACAAGATTCCTGGTCTTGGTATGAGACTAGATAGGAGTAATCTGAATCTTCACTATGCAGCAAGGTAAGATGAAGTATTAATTCTGACGGTGTGCATAAGAAGCTCCTCTCTTCTCATGTAGACAATTAGACAAAAAACCGCAGCTCTAGCATTTATCCTTCTTTGTTTTATTTGTTTGTCTAGGGCTTAGGCTGCCTTCGTAAGTGAGATGTGTAGTCTGAGATGTCTCCTGGCGATTAAGAAAATGGATAAACTCAGACATTCAAAGTTTTATTGGATATCATATTTTATTTTGGAGAAACTGTATATGGTGTTTGATCAAACTCCATGAATTGGATAAACTTCTCAATATGAAATAGTAAATCCATCCAGTTTATTACAGCCCTTCTTTATAATATGTTCAAATGCCCCCTTTTAAGTCCGT